TGATGACTGAATTGGAAATCCTGTGTGTTCCGGGAGGAGTTCCGGGAGGAGTTCCGGGAGGAGTGTTTGGGCAGAAGAAAAAGGCGAGAACGCGCATAAACGCATTTGTAAAACGCGGATTTTTAATTTTTTTTTCTAGCCAGGAGAAACGGCGTTTAGCGGAAATGTTCGGTGTGTATGAGGCCTCAGTGTGAGAGGTTCATTGGCAGTGCTGGGACTTGTAGTTCCTCGAGGGGCAATAGCGGTTCCAGACGCTGCGAGGTTCCGGTTGGGGCAGTGTTTCTCAACTCCAGTCCTCATGGACCCCCAACAGGTCGGTAGAGTTCCGTGTCGCTGGGATTATCGCAGTTCCCCCCAATACAGCGCACCCATCGCCCATCGAATTCTCTGCCGTCCATCTGACAAACGCTCCGCACATCCGAGGACTGACAGCTGGACATACTTGGAATGCCCCGAGGGGGGGAGGGGGGGGGGGATCTGGGACTCACATCCTCCGACGGACCTACTCCGGAACTGCCAGCGCTGATGTGAACGATGACACTGACAACTATATCACCCACTTTCTGTGCGTTTTGGATGCAGGAAAAAAGCGACTGAAACGCATGGAGTGTGAACCGGCCCTGACAACAGCTAACATTTCATACTTTCCTTACATTTTGTGTGCCGGGACCGCGGCTTATTTAGCGCATGCGTTTATTTATGTATTTATTTTCTTGAGTAAATTGACTTTAATGCCGGATCACGCTGGATTTACGCTGCGTTTTTGCTTTTTGAGGTGAAGATCACATACAGGGATCATGAAGTGACCGGAGGCGATATTTGGAATAAAATTTGTCACGTGACCCAAATACGGCATTCAGTGTCCTGTAGTGAACTGAGCCCGGGATCACATACATGCAGTGCGGCAAAACGCATGTGATTCACACAGGAACCGCACCGCTTTCCCTGCAGGTCACATGTGATTCACACAGGAACCGCACCGCATTCCCTGCAGATCACGTGATTCACACAGGAACCGCACTGCATTCCCTGCAGATCACGTGTGATTCACACTGGAACCGCACCGCATTACCTGCAGATCACGTGTGATTCACACTGGAACCGCACCGCATTCCCTGCAGATCACGTGATTCACACTGGAACCGCACCGCATTCCCTGCAGATCATGTGCTTCACACAGGAACCGCACCGCATTCCCTGCAGATCACATGTGATTCACACAGGAACCGCACCGCATTCCCTGCAGATCACATGTGATTCACACAGGAACCGCACCGCATTCCCTGCAGATCACATGTGATTCACACAGGAACCGCACCGCATTCCCTGCAGATCACATGTGATTCACACAGGAACCGCACCGTATTCCCTGCAGATCACGTGTGATTCACACTGGAACCGCACCGCATTCCCTGCAGATCACATGTGATTCACACTGGAACGGCACCGCATTCCCTGCAGATCACGTGATTCACACAGGAACGGCACCGCATTCCCTGCAGATCACGTGATTCACACAGGAACGGCACCGCATTCCCTGCAGATCACGTGATTCACACAGGAACCGCACCGCATTCCCTGCAGATCACGTGTGATTCACACTGGAACGCACCGCATTCCCTGCAGATCACGTGTGATTCACACTGGAACCGCACCGCATTCCCTGCAGATCACGTGATTCACACTGGAACCGCACCGCATTCCCTGCAGATCACGTGTGATTCACACTGGAACCGCCCCGCATTCCCTGCAGATCACGTGATTCACACTGGAACCGCACCGCATTCCCTGCAGATCACGTGTGATTCACACTGGAACCGCACCGCATTCCCTGCAGATCACGTGATTCACACTGGAACCGCACCGCATTCCCTGCAGATCACGTGATTCACACTGGAACCGCACCGCATTCCCTGCAGATCACATGATTCACACTGGAACCGCACCGCATTCCCTGCAGATCACGTGTGATTCACACAGGAAGCGCACCGCATTCCCTGCAGATCACGTGATTCACACTGGAACCGCCCCGCATTCCCTGCAGATCACGTGATTCACACTGGAACCGCCCTGCAGATCACGTGATTCACACTGGAACCGCACCGCATTCCCTGCAGATCACGTGATTCACACTGGAACCGCACCGCATTCCCTGCAGATCACATGATTCACACTGGAACCGCACCGCATTCCCTGCAGATCACATGTGTGATTCACACTGGAAACGCACCGCATTCCCTGCAGATCACATGTGATTCACACTGGAACCGCACCCGCATTCCCTGTAGATCACATGTGATTCACACTGGAACCGCACCGCATTCCCTGCAGATCACGTGTGATTCACACAGGAACCGCACCGCATTCCCTGCAGATCACATGTGATTCACACAGGAAGCACCGCACCGCATTCCCTGCAGATCACATGTGATTCACACAGGAACCGCACCGCATTCCCTGCAGATCACGTGATTCACACTGGAACCGCACCGCATTCCCTGCAGATCACGTGATTCACACAGGAACCGCACCGCATTCCCTGCAGATCACGTGATTCACACTGGAACCGCACCGCATTCCCTGCAGATCACGTGTGATTCACACTGGAACCGCACCGCATTCCCTGCAGATCACATGTGATTCACACTGGAACCGCACCGCATTCCCTGCAGATCACGTGATTCACACTGGAACCGCACCGCATTCCCTGCAGATCACGTGATTCACACTGGAACCGCACCGCATTCCCTGCAGATCACATGTGATTCACACAGGAACCGCACCGCATTCCCTGCAGATCACATGTGATTCACACTGGAACCGCACCGCATTCCCTGCAGATCACATGTGATTTGTGGAACTGCGCATTCCCTGCAGATGATGGGATTCGGAACCGCATTTGCAGATCACGTATGGTTCACACTGCAACCAAAAACATTCGCAGGTCCCTTTTTTCACACTGGTCCGCACCGCATTCCCTGAATCATGGATCGCAGGGTATTCACACCTATGGATCCGATTCTGAACATGGCACCGCATTTTGCGGACCGATTTCAGGGTGTTGTTAACATTCACACCGCAGCGGTTCGCATGAACGGGAGGCGTTTCTGATGCGGTGCAGAATACGATGCAAATTCCGCACCGCATCAGTGTGAACCCGGCCCAATAAAACCCACAATTTTGGAATGAGATGATTCCGGGCGCACATTCCCAGTGTTGTAAATAAAAAAAAAAATTATATATATAATTTTTTTTTTTTTTACTGCTAGAATTGTAGCGTTTTCCTCCCGTCTGCCTTTGACTCACATGGTGTGTACCGTTGCCATGTCTGCATTCTCTCGCAGTCAGACTGTGTATTTTGGGGAATTGCCATCGCAGAAAAAAAAAAAAGATCAAATCTAATGGATTCCATGTTTGGAAATTGCGCTATATTTAGTGGAGGTTTTTGTTTCCCAGGATGTGTCGCGGGGCTGCGCCATGTCTGTTCCGTGCCGGGCGCATTAATACCGCAGAACCGAAGCGCAGCCCCGCCTGTTATATTGCCTCTTTGCAGTGTATTGGGTGTAGCAGAAGTTTTGTAGAACATTTTCACCTTCATCATGCCGGACCGCAAGCAACAAAAAAGTCAAAAATATCTGTCCTACCAGCTGAAACTCTGTTCAGCCGCTCTTGTGAGCCAGGCACCCCTGCTGGACAGTATAGTCAGATCCAGGGGTGGACTAACAACTCATGGGGCCCCCAGGCAATAGGGGATTATGGGGCCCCTGTGTCCTTGCCCAAACTCAAAAAAGCCTATGAAAGAGGTACCAGGGGCATCTCATGGGGCCCCCTACTGACCCCGGGCCCTCGGGCAGTGCCCGGGTTTCCAAATGGTCAGTCCACCCCTGGTCAGATCACAGACCGCACTTTTCTAATACAGTTTGATCGCTGTCCTGCTCCCAGCCTGCTGATTGGACGGAGCATCTCCTCGCACATCATATTAGAGCTCACACAGGGCTACTATTATAATATCAATAAATATATAATGTATAAAATATGATGATGTCATCGCCCCGCCCCTCCCCCCATCTCATCCAATGCCAGGGGTGGACTGACCATTTGGGCCCAGGGTCAGTAGGGGGCCCCATGAGATGCCCCTGGTACCTTTTTCATAGGCTTTTTTGAGTTTGGGCAAAGACACAGGGGCCCCATGATCCCCTATTGCCCGGGGCCCCATGAGTTGTCAGTCCGCCCCTGTCCAATGCTGTGCATTTATTGGGAAAATGCGAAGTGTTCCTTGAATGGTCCCTGTGCTGAGCAAGCAACCTCCTGTGTTCACAATGCAGCCGGCAGCTCCTCAGCACAGGACCTGGAAGATGGTGGAGATGATTGGAGTCCCAGATTCCAGGGGCACCCCTCAGTGACGGCGCATACATACTTATACCGGACCAAGCTGGACAAATGTAACCAGGGGCGGACTGACCATTTGGAAACTTGGGCACTGCACGAGGGCCCGGGGTCAGTAGGGGGCCCCATGAGTTGCCCCTGGTACCTTTTTCATAGGCTTTTTTGAGTTTGGGCAAGGACACAGGGGCCCCATGATCCCCTATTGCCCGGGGGCCCCATGAATTGTCAGTCCACCCCTGAATGTAACTGTAAGAGATGGAGGAGATCAGGAGAAGCCCTCATTACATCCCGGGAGCTGAGATCTATTCTGGTTCTGGTCCAGCATGACAAGCTGGGCAGGATGGTTGGCCTTAAAGCAAAGGAAAGTTTCCAAATTGTGTATTTCTGGAACGGATTTATAGAAACTATTTGGAAACATCGGAGATTATTTTTGCCTTCTGTATACTTTTCTTAAATCTGACTCATGGGAAAGCTCCTCTGTAGGGCAATGGAGGGCAGAGGGGGGCGCTATACTAAGATGGTCCCGGAATCAGGGAAGGCAGGAATGGTTGAGTAAGGTTGGCTCAGATATATTTATTGGTTTTCAAGTTGTGCAAAACAGGTGGAGAATATTTGTGTAAAAAAGCCGTTCTTACCCAGGGTTCCTCCAGAGGTTCCTAGGGGTTCCATGACCTGTGGCTGATTGACCTCCCATCTGGGCCAACGTCACCTGGCAGGTCCACTGGCATGACACCAATCCTTCTGTAAGGGGGAATTCTTCCCACTGACCACCAATGTAAGGGACATTCTTCCCACTGACCCCCAATGTAAGGGACATTCTTCCCACTGACCACCCCCCCAATGTAAGGGACATTCTTCCCACTTACCCCCCCCCAATGTAAGGGTCATTCTTCCCACTTACCCCCCCAATGTAAGGGACATTCTTCCCACTTACCCCCCCAATGTGAGGGACATTCTTCCCACTTACCCCCCCAATGTAAGGGACATTCTTCCCACTTACCCCCCCAATGTGAGGGACATTCTTCCCACTTACCCCCCCCCCCCCAATGTAAGGGACATTCTTCCCACTTACCCCCCCAATGTAAGGGACATTCTTCCCACTTACCCCCCCAATGTAAGGGACATTCTTCCCACTGATCACCAATGTAAGGGACATTCTTCCCACTGATCACCAATGTAAGGGACATTCTTCCCACTGACCACCAATGTAAGGGACATTCTTCCCACTGACCACCCCCTTAATGTAAGGGACATTCTTCCCACTTACCCCCCCAATGTAAGGGACATTCTTCCCACTGACCACCCAATGTAAGGGACATTCTTCCCACCGACCCCCCAATGTAAGGGACATTCTTCCCACTGATCCCAATGTAAGGGACATTCTTTCCGCTGACCCCCCAATGTAAGGAACATTCTTTCCCACTGACCCCCCAATGTAAGGGACATTCTTCCCACTGACCCCCAATGTAAGGGACATTCTTCCCACTTACCCCCCCCCCCCAATGTAAGGGACATTCTTCCCACTTACCCCCCCCAATGTAAGGGACATTCTTCCCACTTACCCCCCCCAATGTAAGGGACATTCTTCCCACTTACCCCCCCCAATGTAAGGGACATTCTTCCCACTTACCCCCCAATGTAAGGGAACATTCTTCCCACTTACCCCCAATGTAAGGGACATTCTTCCCACTTACCCCCCCAATGTAATGGGACATTCTTCCCACTGACCCCCCCCAATGTAAGGGACATTCTTTCCACTGACCCCCAATGTAAGGGACATTCTTCCCACTGACCCCAATGTAAGGGACATTCTTCCCACTGACCCCCAATGTAAGGGACATTCTTCCCACTGACCCCAATGTAAGGGACATTCTTCCCACTGACCCCCAATGTAAGGGACATTCTTCCCACTGACCCCCAATGTAAGGGACATTCTTCCCACTGACCCCCAATGTAAGGGACATTCTTCCCACTGATCCCAAATGTAAGGGACATTCTTCCCACTGACCCCCAGTGTAAGGGACATTCTTCCCACTGACCCCCAGTGTAAGGGACATTCTTCCCACTGACCCCAATGTAAGGGACATTCTTCCCACTGACCCCCAATGTAAGGGACATTCTTCCCACTGACCCCCAATGTAAGGGACATTCTTCCCACTGACCCCCAATGTAAGGGACATTCTTCCCACTGACCCCCAATGTAAGGGACATTCTTCCCACTGACCACCAATGTAAGGGACATTCTTCCCACTGACACCAATGTAAGGGACATTCTTCCCACTGTAAGGGACACCCCAATGTAAGGTAAGGGACATTCTTCCCACTGACCCCCAATGTAAGGGACATTCTTCCCACTGACCCCCAATGTAAGGGACATTCCTTCCCACTGACCCAATGTAAGGGACATTCTTCCCACTGACCCCCAATGTAAGGGACATTCTTCCCACTGACCACCCAATGTAAGGGACATTCTTCCCACTGACCCCCAATGTAAGGGACATTCTTCCCACTGACCCCCAATGTAAGGGACATTCTTCCCACTGACACCAATGTAAGGGACATTCTTCCCACTGACCACCAATGTAAGGGACATTCTTCCCACTGACCCCCAATGTAAGGGACATTCTTCCCACTGACCCCCAATGTAAGGGACATTCTTCCCACTGACCACCAATGTAAGGGACATTCTTCCCACTGACCCCAATGTAAGGGACATTCTTCCCACTGACCACCCAATGTAAGGGACATTCTTCCCACTGACCCCCAATGTAAGGGACATTCTTCCCACTGATCCCCAATGTAAGGGACATTCTTCCCACTGACCCCCAATGTAAGGGACATTTCTTCCCAATGATCCCCACTGTTTCTGTGGGGACATTCTTCCCAAAGTCTGACCTGAAGGGGAATCACCAATGTAAGGGACATTCTTCCCACTGATCACCAATGTAAGGGACATTTCTTCCACATTGGATAATCACCCAGGAATGTAAGGGACATTCTTCCCACTGACCACCAATGTAAGGGGTTCTTCCATTCCCCCGTCCCAGGAGATGGTCTTCCCAATGTAATGGGGGACATTCTTCCCACTGATATAACCCCAATGTAAGGGGGTTCTTCCCACTGACCCCCAATGTAAGGGACATTCTTCCTTCCCACTCCCTGAAGGGTGTCAGAAGCTCCTTTCAACTATGTAAGGGACATTCTTCCACTTGAACAGCCCCAATGTAAGGGACATTCTTCCCACTGACCCCCAATGTAAGGGACATTCTTCCACTGGAAATGAAAGGACAAAGTGATCACCACTAAGACCCCCAATGTAAGGGACATTCTTCCCACTGACCCCAATGTAAGGGACATTCTTCCCAAAACCCCAATGTAAATACACAAAAAGAAATTACTTCACTAAAAACAACTATGATCCAATGTAAGGGGGAAATTCTTCCCACTGACCCCCCATGTAAGGACATTCTTCCCACTGACCCCCAATGTAAGGGGACATTCTTCCACTGAACCCCCAATGTAAGGGACATTCTTCCCACTGACCCCCAATGTAAGGGACATTCTTCCCACTGATCCTCCAATGTAAGGGACATTCTTCCCACTGGGTAAGGGACATTCTTCCCACTGACCCCCAATGTAAGGGACATTCTTCCACTGATCACCAATGTAAGGGACATTCTTCCCACTGACCACCAATGTAAGGGACATCCTTCCCACTGATCACCAATGTAAGGGACATTCTTCCACTGATCACCAATGTAAGGGGCATTCTTCCCACTGACCTCCAATGTAAGGGACATTCTTCCCACTGATCCCCAATGTAAGGGACATTCTTCCCACTGATCCCCCAATGTAAGGGACATTCTTCCCACTGACCCCCAATGTAAGGGACATTCTTCCCACTGATCACCAATGTAAGGGACATTCTTCCCACTGACCAAAAACCCACATGTAAGGGACATTCTTCCCACTGACCCCCAATGTAAGGGACATTCTTCCCACTGACCCCCAATGTAAGGGACATTCTTCCCACTGACCACCAATGTAAGGTACATTTCCTCCACTGACCCCCAATGTAAGGGACATTCTTCCACTGATCCCCAATGTAAGGGACATTCTTCCCACTGACCTCCAATGTAAGGGACATTCTTCCCACTGACCCCCAATGTAAGGGACATTCTTCCCACTGATCCCCACTGTTTCTGTGGGGAAACAGTTTGGGAAAGTCTGGCCTGAAGCATCATAGCAATGATCCATCGGGAATCTTGTTACATTGTTACAATTGGTAGTCAGGATCAGGTTTTCTAACATCCTGAATTGTTTTGTTCTGTGGGAACATTTGCCACATTGGATAATCACTCCAGGATTTTCGCCCAATAGGCATTTAGGGATGAGCAAAATGGAGATTGTTACCCCAAAATTTTGGTGAAATTGAGTCAATGAGGAGAAGGTTTAATGGTTGAACTACAGTAGATGGAAGGGAGCCTTTTTTTCAACTGGAATAACTATATAACTATGAATATAGAATAAAGGGGGTTTTGGTGGTTTGTAAGGATACATTGCGCTTTAAATGACTCCTGAGGGTGTCAGAAGCTCCTTTCAACTATCCTGGACTCATCCTTGTTCCAAAAAAAAAAAACAGCCCCGATTAGTTTTGTTGTATGTTTTTTTTTTTCATGGAAAGGAAAATGAGACAAAAAAGTAAACTAAGACATATAGGGGACAGTATGAATACAGAAAAAAAAAAATCAAATAAATACATAAAAAAAAGGAAATAAATACTCAAAAACATAACACAAATAAATACACAAAAAAGAAAATACACACTAAAAACAAATAAATACATAAAAAAGGAAATAAACAAAAAAATAAGACAAATAAATACACAAAAAAAAAGGAAATACACAAAAAAGGAATTCAGGAGTGGAACCATTTTTGGCCGAAAAAATGCCCAACGCACCAAAATGCGCCTAAACACTGGGTACGTTCAGCGCCTGAGCGTCTTATCATTTCTGTGGACAGAATAAATGAATATTCTGGCCAATGAAATAAACAAACGCCAAAACACTTGTTGCGCTCGAACGCATCTAAATTCTAAACGAGTTTGAGAAACATGGCGTTAGGCGCGTTTTTGATGCTGCTTTTATCCTGTCCCTCCAGACTCCACCTATAACTAAGATATCAGTTGTGGATGGAGTTGTCCTTTAAGTGGGAGTGCTGTCTGTATTCCCTGATAGGAAGATGACTGGAAGGAACATTTACAATTCTGTATATGAAACAAAATGCTCCAAATCTGGTAAAATACGAGCGGGAACGCACGCTGCACGCGGTGCGCGGTGTGCGCAGGGACTTTACTCCATTTTATTTCACCGGCTCTGACATGGCGGGTTATCAGCCGGTATAAATACGTGTCGGGTCCTACAGTACATACCTCCGCCTTTGTCTTGTTTAGGAATGAGGTGGGTTCCCGGGACGCCTGTAATTCGATCGTACCCCAACCACGCAGGGGGGCGCAGGGGCAGCAGCTGGTACTTGCTGGGTCACTGGGGACTGGTAAAGTCAACTTAATCCCCACACTTGTTCCCCTCCCTTTCTGGACAGCTGGATAATCAGTTACCGCATTTAGCGGGGGAAGGTGGGGGGGGGCATTAAAGCATTCACACCTGCCCGCCACGCCATCAAGGGTTAACCCTGCGAGGCCATAAATCCACTTTAGTTCCTGTTTTCCTGCTGTTTGGTCGAGTTTGTCAGGAGAATTTCACTCACAGTACATGTGCAGAAATATGAACACGTCTGCAATGTCATCATCATACAACACGCATCTCCTGTACTATGCCTGCAGTCTCTGACCATCTCCTGTATCATGTCTGCGGTCTCTGACCATCTCCTGTACTATGCCTGCAGTCTCTGACCATCTCCTGTATCATGTCTGCAGTCTCTGACAATCTCCTGTATCATGTCTGTAGTCTCTGACCATCTCTTGTATCATGTCTGCAGTCTCTGACCATCTCTTGTATCATGTCTGCAGTCTCTGACCATCTCCTGTATCATTTCTGCAGTCTCTGACAATCTCCTGTATCATGTTCTGCAGTCTCTGACCATCTCTTGTATCATGTCTGTAGGTCTCTGACCGTCTCTTGTATCATGTCTGCAGTCTCTGACCATCTCCTGTATCATTTCTGCGGTCTCTGACCATCTCTGTACTATGCAGTCTCTGACCATCTCCTGTATCATGTCTGCAGTCTCTGACCATCTCTGTATCATGTCTGCAGTCTCTGACCATCTCTTGTATCATGTCTGCAGTCTCTGACCATCTCTTGTACCATGTCTGCAGTCTCTGACCATCTCCTGTATCATTTCTGCAGTCTCTGACCATCTCTTGTATCATGTCTGCAGTCTCTGACCATCTCCTGTACTATGTCTGCGTCTCTGACCATGTCCTGTACTATGTCTGTAGTCTCTGACTGTCTCCTGTATCGTGTCTGCAGTCTCTGACCATCTCCTTGTATCATGTCTGCAGTCTCTGACCATCTCCTGTATCATGTCTGCAGTCTCTGACCATCTCTTGTATCATGTCTGCAGTCTCTGACCATCTCTTGTATCACGTCTGCGGTCTCTGACCATCTCCTGTACTATGTCTGCAGTCTCTGACTGTCTCCTGTATCATGTCTGCAGTCTCTGACCATCTCTTAAATCCTGTCTCTGATAAAGAATTTTATGTTTGGTCCTTTGGTGATGTCGGGGGCCCGGCTTTAGGCCCCCCCCATATCAAGACAGTTGACCAACATCCTGGACTTCAGTGGCTGACTCAACCCTCCAGACCCCACCTATAATTACAATATCAGTTGTGGATGGAGTGATCCTTTAAGTGGCAATGCTGTCCGCAGGGGCGGACTGACCATTCGAGCTCTTGGGCACAGCCTGAGGGCCCGGGGTCATTAGGAGGCCCCATAAAATGCTCCTGGTACCTTTTATAGGCTTTTTTGGGTGTGTTTTGAGTGTAGGCAAGGACACAGGGGCCCCATGATCCCCAATTGCCTGGGGGCCCCATGAGTTGTCAGTCCGCCCCTGGCTGTCCGTATTCCCTGATGGGCAGATGACTGGAAGGGACATTTATTATTCTGTATATGAAATAAAATGCAGCAAATCTGGTGAAATGCGACAGCCAAGAATGTGAAGCTCCGTTAAGGACGACTTTGGAGGAAATGTTGGGAGGTCGATGTTCACTTCCACTCTGTGATTTCCATCAGGAGGGTTTGGTGGTGGGAATTACTGCCTGATGACAGGTTGGGGGATCAGATACAACAGATGGACCTTCCTGCATTCCTGACCTCTCTGACCATTTGGCTTCCTTGGCTGACAGCAGAATGTATGGGTGACACCCAGCTACAGGGACAGGACGCGGCGGGTTGCATTCAGTATGTTTTTACCATCCTTCATTTCAGAGTTCCATGATACTTAAAGAGTAACTCCACTTTTGTTGTAAAATAAACCCCTCCCCCTCTGGGTGATCGATGGACATTGCTGGGATTTTAACCTCTTTCCCTCCATCCTATAGTAGATGTACTGCTACAGGGCGGCTGGGCTGAGCAAAATCGCGTATATATTGGCGCTAATCCCCCGCTATTGGGGCTAGGGATGTCAATCACCGGGTCCCATCTGGCACTTGGCGATCATCGGGGAAAGATGACAGGGGAGAGGTAAACGAAACACGGGTCTCACTCCTGTCAGCAAGGACATGCTGCTTTGTATTGTTCTGCACAGCATGTCTCCCGACACACAGCACACAGGTAACCCTTTGATCGCACTGTGGACAGGCGGCAGCTGCAGGATCAGCGACA